TATTCGTCTGACAGAGAGATAGACCTGTGAGACGTAAACAAGGCATGGAGAACAGACTGAGGGATGATCGAGGTGGACGTAGAGAGCGTGACGGARGGGCTAATGGAAATGACGGAAATGATCGGTTAGAGGATCAACAGAGAGGTGATGGTGATGGTCCAGATGGTGCAAACCCCGAGCAAGTTGGGTACGATGCATTTGGTGGACAAGGGGGTGTGCATGTTCCTTCCTTCTCGTCAGATATAAACCCACCACCAGTGCTGATGCCTGTTCCCGGTGCTGGGTATGCTCTCTCTCATGATCTTGTCGTAGTTACTCTGTTTGCCCACTGATCTTTAATGTTGTCTGAATGATTATGTGGACAGACCACTGGGACCATTTGTACCAGCACCACCTGAGTATGCAATGCAGATGTTCAGGGACCCAAATGGACCCAACCCTCCTTTTGAAGGTGGCAGCGGAGGTGGACCCGCCCCATTTCTTTTGTCTCCAGCCTTGAGACAGGATCCTAGACGGCTACGCAGGTAATGCTTTTCACTATATTTCCTATGACTATGAATATCAACATCACACAGTGCTTTCATCTTTTCATCAATTGTGGTTCAGTCTCGTGTCGGTAAACATATGAATGACAGTGCGTGTTACTAAGAAACTAATGTATGAGAAAATGGTGCAGCTATCAAGACTTAGATGCACCAGAGGAAGAGGTGACTGTTATCGATTACAGGAGCCTGTAGAGACGAGAGAGAGAGAGTTGAGCCAGCAGATTACAAAACTACCTGGTCGGGTCGGGTCAAAGGGATCAGTGTTAGAAGGTGAGCCAGCAGATTGACAAATTACATGTCCGTTTGATGTTGTATTCTCTCTTGTTCCTCCTAATTTTTCACTCACTCAATAGACTTTTTTTTTTTGTCAACGAACTATATAATATTAAATCAAGTATAAACGTTTTGGTAAATGTCCTGAAGTGCAAGCCATGCCGCTGTTTTGTCTGACTTGTATAATTTTTCTTTGTTTACTTTTTCAGCTTTTCATTCGTGTACCTCTTGGACGATTATGTAAATGTGCATTAGAACTTTTGTATTTAATACTTTTTCCGTTTCA